AGAGAGGACAGGAAAAGCACGGGATGGGGGGAGGGTGGTGGAGGGTCGTTTGGAAGCTCTCAGGGGAAGAATACATCCCTACTCCATTCTCCCAAACCCCAACTCACAAAGTACACTGCTCCGAAGCTGCCATGGCCAATTTCCCGGAGGTCAGAGAAGAGCTTTTCAGGGTCATCCTTGAAGAAGAGCTCTGCCACATCTGGGTCCTTCAGGCTCCCAGCCCGGCCCCCAGCTGGCATGGTGGCCCCTGGGGGCCCTGAGAAAGGGGCCTGGCCTGGAGAATAAAATGGGGTCCTTAGAGAAAGGATGGCATGCTCAGCGAGGAAGGGGCCCCTCAAGTGTCTGCCTTCCCTAGTTCCCTGATGAGGGGGAGGCACTGCTGAGGAAGAGTAGGGGGAGTTTGAAACAACATCAAAGCTCCAAGAAAATGAAGTTGCCCTGGCAACTAGAGCACGGGGGCTGGGTCCCTGGAGTCCCTAAAAGTGCTGGAATGGTTGGGAGCTAAACATCCTCACTAACCCCCTCAAGCCCTCCACAGATTCCATTCCCCTACAATCCCTACTTCCCCCTCTTAAGACTAAAAGATTCGCCTTCCAGTCAGAATGTAATTCCCAAGTGTCCTGTCCCACAAGTCTCATATTCCAAATATTTTCCAGCACCTTCCTGTTCCTCTCAGTGTGGAGGCCCCCTCCTCCCTCAACCTCTCACACCCTGGAAGAGAGCAGGAAACAGCTAGGCCGGAGGCAGTGGAAATCCGGTCATTGTTAGAAGTGGGTACTAGCCAGGAGACTCTCAAAAAGGGCTAGGAACCAGGGGCAGTGAGAGCTAGAATATGAAGGGCATGGATAAAATGGTGCCTGGCTCTGGGGGTCTTGCTTGATCTGGACTCTCTAACTCACCTGGTCCAATGTTAGGCACACAAATACAGGCACAATCCATTTGGGGTGTACAAACAATATTCATGGAACATGCACCTACTACCATGTATTAGTTTCCATTCAATCTGCTCAACCTTACGAGGTATTACTACTTAGTACTCCTGTATTACAGATGAGGAAAGAATGCCAGAAAGGTTGCGACTTGCTGGTCCTCTACCACTCTGCTTTCAAAACAATCCTATGCATCCAGCAAGGCAGGGGCAAGATTACCATTTCAAAGATGAGGTCACAGAGGCATATGAAAGAACTTTTCCAAGTTTAGCTGAATAGGACCATCTTTCTACGCCTCTTTGGTCAGGGTTGGCATACTCTTTACTCATACTCCCCAGGATCAGCCTTGGCAAGAAGGCTCCCATCCCTCTGGCCCTTAGTGAGATCTCCTAGAGAACTCAAATACCCACAGGAGGGTCCTGCAGAACATCAGGGGCTCAATCCCCGAGGGAATTCCTGGCAAGGTTCCTGGCTAAACACTTGCTGGAATTTAGGCACAAAGAATCCTTGAGCAGAGCTGGACTCCCTGAGCAACACCTTTACGGCACCTAACAATTTAGCATGTAATTACATTCTGTTGTGCATTGTTTCCTGTTGTGTTGTTAATTTTGTCTCTTCGGTCCAACTGGAAGCTGGAGGGCAAAGATTAAGCCTGACTCTATGGTGGGCCCCCAAAGCGCAGAGGACTAGGAATAGCCTGGGTGATTGATTGTTCTCACAGGCAGTTCAAAGGAGGTCCCTTTCTTCATTTTTCTTGCCAGCAATTCTGCCAAGGACCCCTGACCCCTACACAAAGGCAGGTGTTTGCAACTTGCCAAAAGAATCTTTTCTTTTTCTTTAATTGAATCACAGTGAGTACACAGTTACAAAGTTGTTCATGATTGGGTCTCAGTCATAAAATGTTCCAACACCCTTCACCAGTGTACATTTCCCACCACCAATGTCCCCAGTTTCCCTCTCCCCCAACCCTCCATACCTGCCTCTATGGCAGGCACTTTTCTTCTTCTTGACCTTTTTAGCATCAGCCAAGAATGCCCATCCAAGACCCTGGCATCACACAGTGACTTTCCTTTAAACACCAACGAATAAATGAGCTATTACTAAGGTCTGTACTAAAGAACAGCCACCTTTCAAAATGGACAGTGTTAGACATTGTGCAGATGAGGAAACCCAAGACTATCTGTCCCTACGCTACACTACTAGTATATCTCACCTGGATTATAACAGGAGCCAATGTGAGACTGTGTGTGTGTGTGTGTGTTATTTTTAATGAGATCTCACACTTAGGAACTGTGCAGAAACTCAGCATATGGATTCTTCCTTCCATGCCTCTTGGGCCAACACAATAAAGCTTTAATATTAATACTCTGGGGAGAATTCTACCTTAGCAGTTTGATTTTAACTGCTAAAAGATACCACTATGGCAATCATGTGTCAGAAGTGAGATCTCTCTAGACACACAAGTCAAAGACTTGGATCACATTAAAGACTAAAGTCCCAACAGAGGAAAATCCAGGAGGCAGAAGGCAAGAGCCAGAACTTCCCATCAACTTAATACTTTTAAGCTTCTGGGCACTGCCCTGCTGAAAAAAGAAAATTTCACTGCCATCCTTAAATCTCATTCAAACTCACCCTCCTTTGGATTTCTGGTCAAGCCCAGGCATAAAAAGATGGTAAGAGACAGGTATGGAGCAAGGGTAAGATTTAACTATCGACTTGGGTTTAAATTCTGGTTCTGCCATTCTGTGACCTTGGGCAACCTCCCTGGGCCTCAGTCTCCTCAACTGTAAAATGGGAGGACAGCAATAAAATCACCCCCATGCATAAAGCACTTTGTAATAATGATAGATCCTTTGACAAATATATGAGATCACTTATACCATCACAGCACGAGGTGGAAAGGCCACTGGAGCTGGGTGGAAACAGGTCAGGCATCCACAAACGCACACATACACTTCCTCGAAAGGACAAGAAATCCAACCACACCATGCCTCAGATACAGAAAATACACCCACTGAGAGAGGTAACACTCCAGAGCAATTAGCAAACAGGAATTATAATCATGATCAAGAAAGAGAGAGCCATGGGGGGGGGGGGGGGCCCGTGAACACGAGAAGCCATCCGAACAGCTCAAGCACCCCAAGGTATGACCCCCGGTGACAGCGGAGACTCTGCCAGCAAGCAGGCACCATGACGGGAAGCATGGAAGAGGAGGGTCCGGAGGCACCGAGGCCGCCGCCGGCCCTCCGGGGCTTCCCCATTCTGAGGAAAGGACCTACCCAGGCCCGGTACTCAGGCTCAACCTTTCTTCTCCATCCTAGACACGGGGACCCGCGCCCCTGCACCCCATGTCTCACCTGGTAGGGGTCACTATGGTGCCCCAGCGCTTCCGCCTCCTTCTGGGGTCTTCCAGCGGCTCTGCCAAGCAGGGAGAGGGGCAAGGAGACCTTCCCCCTTGCCACCTCTTCCTCGGCTTTCGCCCTTCCGGAGGGGCGGGCCCGGGAAGCCTCCCCGGGAGGGGAGGGGGTGACAACCCGATCTGACCTCGCGGTCCAGTCCTCCTCCTCTTCGAGGGCGACAGTTCCGAATCCCGACTCTGACTGCGGGGTCCGAGCCCCAGATATTGTCACGGGGGGAGGTTGGATCTGGTTATCTGGACGCGTGGGGGAATGGACCCCGGGTTACGGGGGCACTCCGGGACCCCAACCTCAGAGATGGAAGCCCTACAGAGCCTCAGTGTCGAGGCGGGGACCCAAGTGGCGGCTCTCTGGAAGCTGAGGGGCTCACGCCCGTAGCTCGGAGACGCGAGGGGCCGAGCCCGGAAATCTGGGACCGAAGGGCCTGAGCCCCAGGTCTCCGGCCACCGACAGGGGGCCCACCCCGAGGACGTCCGGCCGCACGGCCCCTCACGCTGGGATCCGAGGGTGACAGTCCGCGCGCCCGCCCCGGCCTCCTCCCTTTCCCTTCCTCCCTCCTAAGGATGGCTGAAAGACTGTAGCTAAGGGTGGTCCCCGCGCCCTCCCTCTCTCCTCAGTCTCAGCCTCTCTCCGCACCGGCCTCGTCCCGGCCTCCCTCTCCCTCTTCCTCCCAATTCCAAGATGGAGACCGGGCGGGAGCGCGCAGGCGCGGTGGGGCCGCCGGGCTGAAGGGGGCGTGGCCCCAGGAAGCAGCCCCGCCCCTCCCGCCTCTCTGCCGCGGTCCGGGAGGTGGGCAACGGCCGAGCCACAGTGCGCGCGCGCCCCGCCACGCGGCCCGGGGGGCGAGGGGGCGGGGAGGCAGGCTCGGGAGAGGGGCGGAGTCCGGCGCGCGGCCGGACAACTGGCGGTGGGAAGGGCTGCGGCGCATGCGTCCGCCCCGCCTTAGCGCTAAACCCGAGCTTGTTGCTAGGGGAAGCTTCGAGGCGGTGCGGGTGGAAGCAGCCTTGCTCTGCGCCTGCGTGCAGCTGCAACCTTTGGGTTGAGCGGGGGTAAAGGGAAGACTGTTGCTGGGCACGGAAAGGGTGGGATCATGGACGGCTCTGGGTTAGTAGCCATCCAACCTGAACGTGGATTCCCAAGTGTCGGGAAATCTTGCCTGGGAAAAATGAAATTGTTCAATTCCTTCTGGAAACTGAGGCCCCGCAGAGTTGCGTGACTGGCCAAGGTCACACTTGGATTATGTCAAAACACTCTAATGACCATGGCCATCTGACTCTCCGAACTAGTTGGAATTATGAATTTGATTTCCTGGAAGAAAGTAAGCCATAAAGTGACATACCTGAGATCAAATCGGAAGTGACTTCTGGGGGCCAGGGAAACAATGGGCTGGGGTACAAGATTTTCCATGTGGGAGTTCAGGGACCCTGAGTGCAGAGTAGAAAGTGGGCCCCCACCACAGCTGGGCGTGGCCCACCCCCCAAAAGCAGGGAGTTTCTAAAGCCAAGTCACAAATATAGGAAGAACTAAAGCATCCATGCCCTAACCAACCTGTATCCCAAACTAAAGAGTGAATAAGGAACTCCCCCCCAAACCCCTTGATTCTGTTTGCCTATACTCAACCTAATTCAACCCCCAATAAACACCTAAGCAACACTGGGCAAAAAGAGCTTTTTATTTCCCACCACAGTCCAGCTCTTCACTTCTTGTAACATATCTTTCAACTTAGAACCGAGGTCCAGAAATTGATTCACACCTGGAAAGAAAAGAAGAAAAAAAGCAAGGTGGGTCAGAGAGCTCTTGGAGAATGACTGCAGAAAGTGAGTCAGTGGCAGAGGAAGTGACAACTCGATAGTTACCTTTTGGGATAGTCCCCTCAGGTCCCTGGGATCTTCCCTTCCAAATTTACTCAGATCCAAGAAAGTCTGACAAGGTTCCACATGTCCTTGCGATAGGAAATGGTGGAACAGCCAGATTTATTCCTTTTGGTTTGAGGCCACACCCAGGGATGCTCAGGGCTTCCTCCTGACTCCAGGATCACTCCTGACAACCTTGTGGGACCATACCAGGTGCTGGGGATCAAACCTTGATTGGAAGTATGCAAGGCAAGCACCATACCACGTCCCCCCACCCGTACTATCTCTCTGGTCCCCATTTGTCATTTTCTGTTGGATAACATTGGGTGATCCTTGCTCCTCCCACAGGAAGCTTAGATTTATTGAGTTATTCCCACAACAGTGCCCCTGAGGCACACCCAATTTTATCGAGCACTAATAATCCTTTTCTCTTTCCTTTATGTCATTTGTATGGTTTATTCCACAATGTCCTTTTTGTATGGACACAGGAAGATAGTTGATGCTATGCGTTTGTAACATGAGAGTTAAGTGACTCCAAATAATATTTACTCCTGGGCATCTATCATATTTAGCTGACTTAAACCTCAGTTGCCCTTACTTCTAAAGGGAGGATCCCGACAAAGGGACTGGATGGACCCAGGGCAAGCTATAAGCTAACCTGGCATCGAAGGGGAACAAGCTAGGCACCATAAGTATAATAAGTTAAGAGCATGGTCATAGAACAAACTCAGTCATGACCCAAAAAGAAGTAACTGAATAAGGACCCTGCTGGGGTTAGGAAAGACTAATCTGACCTGAAGACTGTGGTCTGGAATATATAGTGAGAAGTTCCCAGGAAGAGCCAACCTTTAGGTTTAATATAGCTCTTCCTGTGCTCATACAAAATGACTAGAAATATAAGAAGCAAATCCACTATGATTGTTTAAATGGATTACTAGCTAAGGAAAGGAGAAAGCAATACGCCCTAGATGGGATCCAGCCCTTGAGTGGATTTCCTAGTAATCTAGAGTGCTGAACCCTCAGATGAGAGTTTGTCCTTGAGTTAATCCCCAGAATTTCCCCTGAAGGAGTAACTTTACCTCTGTATGTTGTTATGACAATGTTCAACCCCACCTATGTGTACCCCCACCCTTCTATATAACTATGCTGTAAGGAGAGAGTAGGGACTATGATGAAGATAAGGACTAGAGAAAGACCAGAAAAGAGGACTTTGAGGTCTATGAGGAGACTAGGATGATGGAACTATTATGATTACCAAAACTATGACTATGATCGTGATTGCGCTTGTGAGAGGAGAGATCTGACTACGTCAGGGGGGGACAGAGAAATAAACGAGCTGAGCGTGCCTACCATGCTTTCTTTGGAAACTCACAATATTCCTAACGAAAATAAGCAAAGTTGACTTGAGCATCTAGTTTCTCTGTCCAGGAAGCTTCCCTAGGCTTGGGCAGTATCAGCTTCTCCCTTTTTTCCTGGTTAGACAACTGAAGCCGAGAACTCTTTAAGAGATAGGTGCACAATCTGACTCTCAAATCATGTGAGACCCATCTGAAAAGGATGAGAATTTGCTACAGGAAAATAAATTTCCCTATGGGGCAGTAAGATAGATACAGCGGGTAAGTCTGTACTATTTTGCCTTTCATGAAGCTGACCAGGGCTGTCAGGAATTATCCCTAAGCCTAAAGCCAGGGTCTGCCCTGAGCACTGTGGAGTGTGGGCCAAAACTTAAAAAAAAAAAAATGTTCCCCCTTACTGAGCTGCAAGACAAAATAGTCAACCTGTCCCTTCCCATAGCACCTTCATGGGTCTGTGACCCTCCCAATATCCTGTTAGCAGAACCAACTTTCTAAATACAGTAATAGCTAAAGGAAAAGAGAAGGTGCAAGTGAAGTTTTAGGGCACATAACATGGTACCTAGTAAATGGGCATCGTCAGATTCTTTTGGGATGTTCAAGATGAATTTCACAAATTTGCATCATAAAAAGAGGTACCAGAATTTCAGGACAAATAATCAGGTTTTTGTGGCCCAAAACCCAAGATAAACCAACTCATTCGGGATACATCAGACTTGAACCCTCTTTTTTATCTTTGTTTTGGGGCCACATCTGGCAATGCTCAGGGCATACTCCTGTCAGGCTTGGAGTACCATATGGGGTGCTGGGGATCGAACTGAGGTCAGTCACCTGCAAGGCAAATGCACTACCTGCTGTACTATTGCTCCAGCACCCAGACTTGAACCCTTCTTAACTTACCACAGTTGTCCAAAAGTTTGGATAATGTGAAATACTGTTACCAATGGATCTTAAAACCATGTGTGTCAACCAAAATGTCTGTCACAATAGAATATATATTAAATTATAAAATATCCCATCTATATAAAATAAAACTGAACCATATTGTGTAAAAATAACAATCTCAGTTATAATTGCCACCCCTGCCCAATCACATATTCTCATACAACAGGAGCAAAGTTCCTTACCTGAGAACAAGCCAGAAACTACACTGAGTGTCCTCAGAGCCGGGTTCGAGACCAATGGGACTCCCGTCGCGGGTGGAAGCACATAGCAGTGAGACAGCAGAGAAGGCCGAAGAGAAGCAGGAAGGAACCTAATACTAGCAGTCTGGAACCACATAAAGCCAACTCTTCCTGGGGGTGGACACAGGGAGGGAAGAACAAATGATTGGAAAGAACTGTCATCGGCCAGTCCCTGGTGAAGACATGAGTTCCCTCGGCGCAGAGGCCAGAGAGAGGTGCCCATGGGGAAAGAGGACCCTCTACATGTTACAAGCAACTAAAGGGAACAAGTAATCTTACAAAGTCAACAACTATTTCAGTGCTCTCCAGGTGCTTTCTTGCACTGCCATTTAGCTGAACCCCTATAATGACTCCATGAGAAAGGAAATCTCCCCCCATTCTCTGTATCTACCTATATCGAAGATGCATATACTTGCATATAAATCCGATTACACTTAATTGAAAAGATTAGACAGATTGAGGAGATGGACTGGAATGAGGGGTCTGTGGGTCCTTTGCTTCCTGGAAAGCCAGCACAAGGGGAAGCTCCTTTGATGTGGGTCCTATAACCTCTTATCTCTGCTCCAGCTTCCAGAGATTCTTTTGAAATAAATGCACCCAAGAGACTTCTGCACCTACAGTCTCTAGTCCCCTTTGATATGTAAAAGCTTAACCTGGTTAGATTGGAAGAGATAGGCAAATGTCTGTAAATTGCTATGATTAAGAGAATAAACACGAAATGTGATGGAGAATCCGGGTAGTCAGTCTGAGAGGCTGTGAGTCCCATGCATTCATGCTTTTTTCTCTTGCCTGTCTTTTCTCTTGCTTTTTTCTCTTATGTCTGTCATGTTTTCTTTGTTTGTAGTCCTTTTTTTTTTCTTTTTGGGTCATGCCCGGCGATGCACAGGAGTTACTCCTAGCTCATGCACTCAGGAATTACTCCTGGCGGTGCTCGGGGGACCATATGGGATACTGGGAATTGAACCCAGGTCAGCTGCGTGCAAGGCAAACGCCCTACCCGCTGTGCTATCGCTCTAGCCCTTCTTATTTTTTTTTTTCTTTTTGGGTCACACCTGGCGATGCACAGGGGTTACTCCTGGCTCTGCACTCTGGAATTACCCCTGGCGGTGCTCAGGGAAGCATATGGGATGCTGGGAATTGAACCCGGGTTGGCTGTGTGCAAAGCAAACGCCCTATCCGCTGTGCTATGGCTCCAGCCCATGTCATGTTTTCTTAATCCTGGTGGGTGCTCCTGCTTCAACCCATTCCCCTGGGGCCAATCCTGGGCATATACACATATATGTTATATTATACTGTTTTGGGGTCACACTCAGCTGTGCTCAGGCTTTACCCTTAGCTCTGTGCTCAGGGATCACTCCTGGGAATGCTCTGGAAACCATATGGTATGCCAGGATGGAACCCAAGTTTGCTGTATGCAAGGCAAATGCCCCACTGGTTGAACCATCACCCCCTCCCCCATTATCTACATTTTAAAGATGAACAAGTGGGGCCGGATCTGGAAACCTAGATCTTTTCTAACTTCAAATTCCCAAATTCCCAGCTTCTGTTCTTCACCAGAACACTGGAATACTTTTTTTTTTCTTTTTGGGTCACACCTGGTGATGCCCAGGGGTCACTCCTGGCGGTGCTCAGGGGACCATATGGGATGCTGGGAATTGAACCCGGGTCAGCCGTGTGCAAGGCAAACGCCCTACCCTCTGTGCTATCACTCCAGCCCCACCAGAACACTTATTAAGCACCAGGGAAGAATATACCTTCTAATTGGTCTCCTTCCTTCACCCAGCACCAGTGGCCCAGAGGCCCTGCAGTGTCAAGTTGCTGCACTCTGATGGTGGTGCCTTGTGACTAATGCCTTTACTTCTTCAGTCTTTTGTCCTAAATTATTCCTAAGCTTTCATCATGGAATGCCCCATTACTCTCTAGAATGTGCTGAGTATCTTTGCCTGCACTGTATCTCCCCATTCAGAATCTCCTCTTAGTATTTCTGTTTGTTTCTGGGTCACACCCGGCGACGCTCAGGGGTTACTCCTGGCTCTACACTTGGGAATTACTCCTGGCGGTACTCAGGGACCATATGGGATGCTGGGGATCGAACCCATTTCGGCTGCGTGCTAGACAATCACCATACCCACTGTAGTATCTCTCTGGCCCCATGAGTCCCCTCCTCTGAGTTCCTTGCACTAATCTTCATTCTTCAAGGATAATCCTGACAGGGCAGAACAAGCCTAGGACTGGGAGTGAGAAGGCACAGGTTGCTCTGCTGGCTCGGCCACTTAACCAGTTGTGTGGCCTAAAGCAATTCACTCCCTCTCTCGAAGCCTATTTCCTCATCTGTAAAATGGGATAATAGCTACCTCAAAAGTCTATTTTGAGATCAAATGAGATAATGAACCTGAAAGCACTTTGTACATTATAAACTACTATACACAATTCCTTTCCTTAAATGCCATCTTCTCTGTGAAGCACTCTCCATAAATGTAGGAGTTAGGGTTAATTGTTCCTTACTCTGGGTTTGTACAACACTTTGCTCAGATCTCTCTGATACCAATTAGCCTCTTAATACAGTTTCTGAATTCCTTTGAGGTGGAGATCTTATTTTATTGTATTTAAAGAAAATGGTTCACAGTAATAATTGTTATTTCTCAAATTCCTATTATGTACCAACCACTGTTCCGGGTACTTTACATTCAGTCTTGTTATCCTTATTTGTTGGAATTAGATGGTATCTTGTTTTCCACTTTATGATGCGGAAGCTGAGGTTCAGAGAGCTTGCTGAAGGTTACGATAAAGTCTGTGATCTTTTTTGTTTTCTTTTTGTTTTTAGGTCACACCCAAAATTTTAGAGATCACTGGAGGACCTTACGTGGTACTGTGGATCAAACCCAGGTAAGAGGCATGCTAGGCAAGCACCTTATTCACTATCTTTCCTGACACAAAGTCTGTATTTTTTCAACTGAGTAAAATTATCCTCCAACATTCAGCACGTTAGTCTATGAAAAACCAGTAATTCAACGGTATTTTTTCCCTTTTCCCCTCCCTCCTTTTCCAGGTTTTTTTTTGTTGTTCATTTGTTTGTTCGTTTTTTAAAATGCCAGGCAGGAATCAAACTCAGGTTCTCACATATGCAAAGCATGTGCTCTACCACTGAACTATGTTCCAGGCCTATGCACAGGGCTTCTTACCGAGGTGAGCAGCTTGGTGAGCACAAGGCGTTCATGGCTCCAGACCGTGACACACTCCTCGGCCATTCTAGGGCTCAGGGTGACATTTCCTGCTCCCTCCTCTGAGCAGGATATGGGTGGTTGGCTGGAGGGCAGGATTCCTGGAGCAGCACTAAAATACAGGCAGGTTCCTGGGGTCCTTTCTGTGGTCACCCTGGCTGTGATGAGGACCTGCTCACCTGCATGAGATCCTATCAGGGGCACAGGAGAGGAGAGGCAAGAAAATGAGAGTGGGACTAACCATCTTCCCTCCTTCCTTTCTTCCTTCCTTCCGCCCTCCCTTCCTTCCTCTCTTCCTCTTGTTTTTTTGGGTAAAACCCAGTGATGCTCAGGGCTTACTCCCCGTTCTGCACTCAGGGATCACTTCCGTCAGTGCTCAGGAGACTATGTGGGGCGATGCCGAGGATCAAATCCAGACTGACCACTTGCAGGGCAAGCCCCCTATTCACTGTACTTTCTCTCCCGTCCCTTTTGTTACTTTTTTTTGGGGGGGTTTGGGGTTACTCCTGGCTCATGCACTCAGGAATTACTCCTGGTGGTATTCAGGAGACCATATGGAATGCTGGGAATTGAAGCTGGGTTGGCCGCGTGCAAGGCAAATGTCCTACCTGCTGCGCTATCACTCCAGCCCCCACCTTCCATTACTTTCTAAGGCCTCCTCTGAGACCAAGTATGTTGTCATTGATTCTGTTTAATAAAATACTCTGTATCCCATCATTTACATCCTTGAAAAATGAAAATAACCATGTATCAATTTAAATAAAAAATCAACTTAAATTAGCTTATAATTAACAACCATGTCAATACTCACAGGTGGCAGTGAAACTGGGATAAACACTGCTAACATTAGGTTGTATAAACTAGTTAGTTCTTTTTAATACAGCAACTTCCGGGGCTGGAGCAATAGCACAGCGGGTAGGGCATTTGTCTTGCACGTGGCCAACCCAGGTTTAATTCCCAGCAATCCATATGGTCCCCCGAGCAGCACCACCAGGGGTAATTCCTGAGTACAGAGCCAGGAGTAACCCCAGTGCATCGGCTGGGTGTGACCCAAAAAGCAAACAAAAATAAATAAATAAATAAATAAAGCAACTTCCACTAGGTGCCAAAATCCCCATAAAGATTCACACTCCATTTCAAATTAGTGGGAAAGGAATGGCTTATTCAGTCAATGGCCTTGGGACAATTTCCAATTGTGGAAAAAAAAAAAAGACTTATCTCAACTATATATAAAGTCCAGATGATACAGTAAAGACACACCATATGGTCCCCAGAGCACTGCCAGGAGTGATCCCAGAGTACAGAGCTTAGGGTAAAGACTGAGCACAGCTGGGTGTGGAACAAACACAGTAAAGACCTACTCAGGCAAATTAAACAAGGAGAGTCATAGAAAATGAAGGACATTTTCTAATTTTTTAAAAAATTTTTGGGCCATACTTAAGCTCAGTGCTTGCTCCTGGCTTTGCACTCAGGGATCACTCCTAGCAGGCTTAGGGGGACCATATGGGATGCAGGGAATTGAACCTGGGTCGGCCAAGTGCAAATCAAGTGCCCTACCACGGTACTATCACTTTGGCCCATCCCCCTTTCATTTTTTAATTTGTTTTCTGGGCCACACCTAGTAATGCTCAGGGATTACTACTGACTCTGCACTTAGGGATCAAACCAGGCAGTGCTTGGGAGTGCTTGGGAACTATCACTGTATCACTGTCATTCATCGATTTACTCGAGTGGGCACCAGTCATGTCTCCATTCATCCCAGTCCTGAGATTTTAGCAGCCTCTCCTTACTCGTCTTTCCCAGCAATTGGAGACCCTAAAAAGGGTCAGGGGAATGAGACCTGTTATTGTTACTTTTTTGGCATATCGAATACGCCACAGGTAGCTTGCAGGCTCTGCTGTGCGCGATACTCTTGGTAGCTTGCCAGGCTCTCCGAGAAGCATATATATATTTCCCTCTATGATTTGTTGCCTTCTGTCTGAACCCCATCAAATATGGTGTGGTAATTATGGAAATGATTCCTCCGCCCCTCTCAGACCGGCAAGCTACTGAGAGTATCTCACCCCCACGGCAAAGCCTGGCAAACTACCCTGACATATTCGATATACTAAACATAGTAACAAGTCTCACAATGGAGACGTTACTGGGCCCTAGAGCAAATCGATGAACAATGGGAGGACAGTGCTGCAGTGCTACAGTGTTGGGAACTATACTCAGGAACTATATGGGGTGCTAGAGACTGAATCCGTGGCTACATGCCTTACCTATCTCTCTGCCCCACTCCTGATACCCCCACCCTCTTCTAATTTGAAAGTGAGGAATGGGGGCTGGAGTGATAGCACAGCGGGTAGGGCATTTGCCTTGCACACGGCCGACCCGGCATCCCATATGGTCCCCTGAGCACTGCCAGGATTAATTCCTGAGTCAGAGCCAGGAATAACCCCTGTGCATCGCCGGTGTGACCCAAAAAGCAAAACAAAACAAAAATAAAAGTGAGGAATGACTTTGTGAAAAAGATAGAAAGAGCCAGAGAGACAGTCAAAGGGTGGAGTACATGCCTGACATGCAGAGGTCCTGCATTAGATTCCCAGCATGCATGGTCTCCTAGATTCCCATCACTGCATGGTCCCCGAACACAGCCAGGACAACCCCTAGCACTGCCTGGAGGCATTCCCAGGCCTCCAGAGCACTGCTTGGGAGAGAGTGAAGAGGGAGAGAGGTAAGGAGAGAGAGGAGAGAAGGGACGAACTCCTATGCCCAATATATGGTGCCCTAGAAATAAATAGCTCAAGGGCTGGAATAAATATTTTGCCACCTGGAGGCCCATGAAAAGCAATGGAAGTGGTTTCAAAATGAAAATATATAAAAGAGAAAACCTAAGTGCCTAAGTAAAGAATAAGAGCAATAAATCTAACCTGATAAAAATTTACTTATGATGGATAATTTGGTGTGTGTGTGGGGAGATCACACACAGCTTGTTACACAGCTGACTGAAACCAAAAAACACAACATGACGCCACTTCACCCAAAAATGGTGTCTTTACTTTGCCCTTTCTTTCTTTCTTTTTTTTTTTTTCTTCTTGGGTCATACCCGGTGATGCCCAGGGTTACTCCTGGCTCATGCACTCAGGAATTACTCCTGGCGGTGCTCAGGGGACCAAATGGAATGCTGGGAATAGAACCCGGGTCAGCCGCGTGCAAGGCAAACTCCCTACCCGCTGTGCTACTGCTCTAGCCCCTCAAAATAATCTTTGTTGTTACTACTTTGTTTCTAATTCTTAAGTGAAGAAAAAAAAAGGCTTCTTTGAAGAAGTAAAAATAGATGAAAATTCAAGGGATCTGAACTAGAAAAAAAAGGCAAGTCACCTAAATTTAAAAAGTGGGTAAGACTCTGAAAACATGTTTCTCAAAGAAGATACACAGAAGGCCAATAAGCACATTTGAAAAATATTCATTATTTAGTCCTTAAGACATTACAAACCAGAACCACAGTGAGACTTCACTTTACACTGGAAAGGGTGGTTCTAATAAAAAAAAAGACATTTAACAAGTGTTGGTGAGGGCATAGAGAAATCTGGAGCCATTATACACCACAGACATGGAGATACAAATGGCACAGTCATTTGGAAAACAATCTGGCAGTTCCTCAAGACAAAACATAGAGTTACCTTATCATCCAGCAATGTCACCTGTAGGCATATGTTCAAATTTTTTCTCACAAAAAAGTTTAAAACAGTATCATTCCTAATAGCAAAAAAAGTAGGAGCAACCAAATGTCAAAGATGAATAGAGAAACAAAATGGGGACTATGCAACGAATACTATTCAGCAATAAAAGGAATAAGCACCAGAGAGCTAGTACAGCAGGGAGGGCGCTTGTTTTGCACGTGATCGACCTGGGTTCAATCCTCAGCATCCCGTACAGTCCTTCGGGCACCACCAGGAATAATTCCCGAGTGCAGAGCCAGAAGTATACCGTGAGTATTGTCAGTTGTTCCTTCTTCCCCACCAAAAAAAAAATAAAGTATGCTTTAACATATACTTCATATTTTATGGGTAAACTGTAACAACAATGTGCTATATTAAAAAAAAACTTAATCCTATGCTAGGTTCCTCCCCACGTGTGGAGTTACTTTTCCTCTCTCTTCTACTTTCCAATAAACTTTTCTAATAAAAAAAAAACTCCCCAAACCCCAAAATAATATGCTATGGGTCCAGAGCAATAGTACAGTGGGTAGGACACTTGCCTTGCACGCAGCCATTCCAGGTTCAATCCCTGGCATCACATATGGTCCCCAAGTACTGCCAGGAGTGATTCCCTAAGCACAAAGCCTATCCTGAGCACCACCAGGTTTGGTACCCAAACAAAACCAAAATAAAAAAAAACAAACAAAAAAACCCAGTACGCTAAGCTAAACCGGAATAGGCAAATCAACAGGGACAGAAAGTAGACTAATGGGCTGGGAGGTTAGGAACAAATGAGGAGCGATTGCTAATGGATACAAGACTTTGGTGGGTAATGAAAACTTCTAAAATTGGCTGGGGCAGGGCAGGGAGATGGCTCAAGTAGTAAGACGGTAAGAGTATATGCCTAACATTTGTGAGGTCCTGAGTTTGATCCCTGTCACCATCCTTATGGTCTCCATGAACCCCAGCTGGGTAATACATTATATCACCGGGAGTATCCCTGGGCTCTGGAGCACTGCTGGAGGTAACATATAAAAAAATGAAACAGGGCCAGAGCAATAGTACCGTGAACAGGGCATTTGCTTTGCATGCAGCTGACCAGGGTTTGATCCCCAGCATCCTATATGTTCTCTTGAGCACTACCAGGAGTAATTCCTGAGTGCAGAGCCAGGAGTAACCCCTGAGCATTGCAAAGTGTGAACTAAAAAGCTATAAAAAATTAAAATAAAGGCAGAGAGATAGTATAAAGGTGAAGGCATCTGCCTAGCATGTAGCTGGCACTGCAACCCTGGTTTGAATGCCAACACCACAGATGGCCCCCACCCCAGTACCAACAAGTGATTCCTGAGTACTAACAGAGCCAGGATTAAGCCCTGTGCAAAACCAGATGTGACACCCCATCAAAAAAAAATAAGTAAAATAAAATAGCATAGAGATAGGACAGCAGGTAAGGTACTTGGCCTTGCATGTAGCCAACCTGGTTCAATCTCCAGCACCTTATATGGTCCCCTGAGAACATCCAAAAGTAATCACTGAACACCACCGGATATGGTGGTGATATAATATGGGGGACAGTTTTTCTGATTTTTATTGAGCTGTGATTCATAAACCATAAAATCACCCATTTAAATGTACAATTAGGGGCTGGAGAGATAGTGCAGTGGGTAAGGTATTTGCCTTGCATGTGCCCAACCTGGGTTTGATCCTGGGCATCATTCCCTCTGGTTCCCCCAAGCACCACCAGGACTAATTCCTGAGTGCAGACCCATTATTGACCCTGACACTCATTCAGGGAATCATTCCTTGGAGGGCTCAGGAAACCATACGTGGTGTGACATGGATCGAACCCAGGTTGGCTGCATGCATGGCAAGAGCCCTACCTTCTATATTCTGATCCATCATGGAAGAATTTTTGAATCATGGTAGAGAGTTTGAAAGGAGACTAGAAAGTAGAAGAAACTCAGAAGTAGAGAATTCCACGTTTTCCTTTTCCCATTTTATTGCTCTGTTTTTCAGGTGAGAAATCTGAGGCCAAATCCTATGCAGGAATTAATGACATCCGTTGACTCTCACAGATCATTTCCCCCAAAGACTCTAAGCAATTTGGGAATGGATGATGCCTGTTTTTCTGAATTCTCATAGCGCTGTGCTAGCACATAGCAGGCACTCAAGACACTAGTATAAACGAATAGAACATGCTCTCTGATCTCCCTGACGACAAAGAATGTGCCTCTGAGAAGACTGCAGGAATTAAGAGGAAAGAACATTGTGTGCTTTCTAGCCCATCTAATTAGACCTCCAAAGGTAGAATCAAAGTACGTCAGGGCCGAAAGAGGAAAGAAAAAACATCTAGATGAACCTATACTTTGGGTAGTGTGTTCATGGAAAGTATCTGGCAGAAAAGACCCAGATATGTGGGTGAGGTCAAAGGCAGGGCCCAGATTGAAATAGCTAACTGTCGCCTCACCTTTCAATCCCATCTGACTTCCCAGGACCTTGGTTTGGAATGTCTGAGTCTTGTTACCGTCTGGACCATTTCCGAAGTTCAAGGTGGTCAGCAGGCCCACCACGTGAGACCCATGCCACTTCCCAGGGACTGTCCCATTCGCAGGGCACAGGGTCAGCCGGCCAAAGGATCTCAAGAAGGAGACCCAGTCCTGTGTACACAAGGAAATGGAGAGAAAGGTAAAAGTAGCAGCGAGCAAGCCTTCGGAGAAGGGGAGGAGGAGGGTACTTACCTGTGGAATGTCAGGGCTACGCAGGCCAGTCCTGTGTGTCAGGAGGAAGCCGCCAAGGCTCAGGCCAGAGAGTCCAAGAAGTAACAGGATCAGAGTGGCACAGACCAGAGGTGGGTGGTGGGCCAGACAGAGATGCAGGTTGTGGCCCGCCTGACAGCTGCCCATGGGGAGCAGAGGGGTCTGGGCGTCCACAGAGAGCCTGTTGGATAAAAGGGAGAGGGGAGTGGACAAGAGCCTGCTGGTCAGAAGGCACTTACCCATTTCAGTTAAAGAGCAGCTAGAACACCCAGACAAGGGACACGCCCAGGAACACACAGCCAGAGTGGCAGTACCAGGACAAGAATCCTAAACTCCACTCTGTTCATCTCTCTGCCCTCCTCCATGAAAGTCTGCTGTATTTTATTTTCAGAAGTAATCAAGGCGTAAGCAGTGCAGCACATGCTCTGCTGGAAAGGGGGCAGGGAGAAAGGAACCCAGTAAGGGGAATTCACCGGGGAGAAAATCAGGAAGCAGCTGTTCTAGAGTTAGGGGTTGGCTGCAGCGAGCAGCGCAAAGGAAGCAGCTGATGAAAAAAACTTCACTCTGGAGCGCACAAGCTCGTGTCGAATCCTCTCTCCCAGGCTCACTGGTTACGCGAGGAAAATGACGGGACCCTTGGTGGGCTTAAGACTCCGGGAACTGAGAGTTCTAAGAACGCCAAGTAATGACGACTAAACACGGCAGGTACAGTATTTGCATAGTCCTTGGCCGCGCAGAAACTCAACAAATGTCCATTTTATCGATTTCTGTGTCATATTGATCCTCAAGACCCGGGGAGGCCAGGTAAAAAACACTGGGGAAAACTGCGGCTCGGGGCATGCAACACTGGCGGGGAAGGGCCACGTTCTGAAGCCTGACTCTGGCTGCAGGTGGAGCGTTCTTCCCGTTGGAGAAGCCACAGGCTGCTGGAAAGGAGCGTCCGAAGGCGGCAAAAACACGGCGGCGGGCGGGGGAGGGGGGAGGGTCCAGAGAAACGCGGGGGTCACAAATGCTCACCCCAGCCCTGCCTCCCGTCCCGGCACATCTGGAAAGGGGAGAGAAGCAGGAAGGGGGAGGGCAGAGCCTAAGGATCAGCGGCTAGCGCCGCATCTGGGCCTCCCCTCCCCCGGCCGCCCCTCCACCAGGAACTCGACACCCGCATCCCCTCCCGGTCAAGCGGCGTCGGGCGCTCCCGCCGCCCGCTCTCACCGGTCGGAGCCGGGCGGAGGCCGGCGCCCCCCACGTCACGCGTGGGGCCGCGAAGGGGCGGGGCCCCGGCAGCGCCCGCCCCCGCGGCGGGACTGCGCACGCGCGGCGGCCTCCCGACTGGCCGCGGGGCCTCTCCGGGGCCGGCTGGGCGCGTACCAAGACGGGGAGGCGCTGCGAGGACGCGGGGCGCGGGGCGCGTCCGCGGGACGCGAGCGACAGGCCGGGAGCGAGGAGGAGAAAGGGCCAAGCTGGCGCGTCGTCACCTTCCCCTCCCGGAAGCCGCGGGGGAGTTCCCTGAGGACCGCGGCGCAGATACTTTCCCGGGGCCCGTCCCCCTACGCCCGCCCATAGCGCGGTCCAGCCGCGCCCAGGTTCCGGGGAGGACTTGGGGTCCGCCTGAGGGCGGGGCTCCCGGCCCACCTCGGGGCTGCGTGTGCGGGTGCAGCTCTTCCCCCCAGGTCATGTTGGCCGCTTCCAGCTCACGCTTGGCTTTTAGCGACTCCTAGACTCCTTAGGCGCTGGGCGCTATAGCTGCAGGCCGCGTCATTGCGTTTCTACCTGTGGGAGATGACAGCACCGAGGTCCCGCTTACCTGCAGGACCCCCGGAGCCAGAAGTCCTGAGTTCAAGTTATGGCCCGGCTCCATTTCCACGCAAAGCATGACAGTCCTCTCCTGGGCAGTTACTCCTCTGTTAGCGAGGATCAGCCCTCACGGGCGATGGGTAAACTTAAGGAGGGGAACTGCGAAGACAGGGGCCCAGTGCCCACGCAGCACACAAATGGCACCGCACAAATTACAAAAAAGTAATCAAGGCGTAAGTAGTGCAGCACATGCTTTGCTGGGAAGGAAAAAAAAGAGAAGAGAAACGGCCTGAATAGTCAGCTCTACTGAGGTTTTCAGAAATCAAATTCAGGTGTTTTTTTTTTTTAATCAGAAAAAAAAACTATCAGTTTACTTTAAGTCTAACCAAATAGTTTTACTGCATCACAAAACAAAGATTGTAGTTTTACTGAAAAGCGATGTGGAAATTACATTGATTGTTCCTCAAGGTACGTATCATTGTAGTCTACCTAGGGAGTTGAGTCATTTCAATGAATTGTGACAGGGCAAGCAAAATTTTGCATTTAAAAATCAAGGTGGGGCTGGAGACATGCAGTGTTTTAGTATTCCTAAAAACTATTTCTAAAAATAGTCACCTGCAAGTCAGTTCTGTAGTACTTTTTTTTAAATTAAAGTTGGGGATTGGTTTCTACTAATTATAAAATTCTTTGGCTGTTTGACCTTAATACTGATTATAGTAGAAATGTATTTTATTTTTTCCTAAGGAGTGGCTGGAGCGATAGCACAGCGGGTAGGGTGTTAGTCTTGCACGTGGCAGACCCAGGTTCGATTCTTTCGCCCCTCTTGGAGAGGCCCGCAACCGAGAGTATCCCGCCTACATTGCAGAACCTGGCAAGCTACCCCTGGCGTAGTCAATATGCCAAAAATAGTAACAACAAGTCTCATAATGATGAGGTAACTGGTACCCGCTCGAGCAAATCTATGAACAACGGGAGAACAGTGCTACAGTGCTACTGAGGTTTTCATAAGAGGCCAAGTCATTTCTGTATCTCCACCCCAAAAGTTTAGAGCCCCAAACTATCATGTATATTGTCAAACACTTGACAAGGTGCCAAGCCATACAATGAGAAGCAGTAGGTAGTTGGTAAACCTGAATATTCCCATGTGCAAGAATGACTTTAAACTTGGACCGGAGAGATAGTACAGTGGGTAAGGCGTTTGCCTTGCATGCAGTCGACGGGTTCGAACTGATCCTCAGCATCCCATATGGCCCCCACAGCACCCTCTGGGAGTAATTCCTGAGTGCAGAGCCAGGAGTAACCCTCGCATTACCCGGTAAGATCCAAAAAGCTAAACAAATGAAAAGGATGATATTGGTAGAAGATTTTGAATGACATTAAACCCTAATCATATGCAAATGTTCATTCAAAAATCCATCAAAAAACTAAATATAAGAGCTTAAACTGAAACTGAGACGAAAATGGGGAAAATATTCCAGGACATTCAGTTTCTTGGCTATCACACCGAAGTACAGACAATGAAAGAAAGATAAAAGGTAAGTTGGACTGAATCAAAATTTTAAAATGCTCTTCATCAAAGAATACAACAGAGGGCCAGGAGAAATAGTATGGTGGGTAGGGTGCTTGCCTTGTATGAGCCCACCAAGATTCGTCCCCCACATCCCAGGTGTGGCCCAAAAACAAAAAAGGTAGAGTGAAAGACACGTGGAAAGAGAAAAATTTGAAAATCATATATCTGCTCCGACGTTAATAGCTCCAAAACTCTTACAATTCAAGTACAACAACAAAATACAATCTGGTTTTAAAATGAGCTAAGTGGATTTTCTTTTTTTTTTTTTTTCATTCTGGAGATGTTCATGTTCTCTCTAAAAAAACACATCTCTCTCCTTTTTCTCCCCTTACATTTCTCTAAGTGAAATTCTTTCAATAAAACTATTTTGTTTCTGGTCTAGAGAGACAGTACAGTGGGTAGGGGTAGGGTGCTTGCATTGCATGAGGCCAACCTGGGTTTAATCCCTGGCACAAGTTATGGTCCTTCAAGCCCACCAGGACTGATTCCTGAGCACCACCGGGTGTAGCCTCAAAAAAAGAAAAGAAAAAGAGAGAAAGTAGACTTTGGTGATAATAATGTGATACATACAAATGTTTAAGGTATATTTAAGATATAATTTAAGATATATTCAGGGGCTGGAGCAATAGCACAGCAGGTAGGGCGTTTACCTTGCACGCAGCCAACATGGCCAACACAGGTTCGATTCCCAGCATCCCATATGGTCCCCCGAGCACGGCCAGGAGCAATTCCTGAGTGCATGAGCCAGGACTAACCCCTGAGCATCACTGGGTGTGACCCAAAAAGCAAAAAAAAAAAAAAAAAAAGATATATTCAATGTTTTAAAATGTTTGAAACATATACAATGTTTATGAACCAATGTTACCTCAACAAAATTAAAAAGAATAAATTTGTTTTTCAGATTACTATACATGTATAGACATATAACATTTTGTGTGTTTACTTTGAATTTGAATTTGTTCTAAATTGCGTGTGTGTATTTTTAAAGAGCTTTATATATACGATCATGTTACTTGTTTAAAAAGATGTAGGGGGTTGCAGAGAGTACAGCTGGCGAGGCACTTGCTTTGCATGTGGCTGATCCAGGTTCCATCCCTAGCATCCCATATGGTTCCGTTCCCAAAACCCTGCCAGGAGTGATCCCTGAGCTCAGAAGGATGAGTAAACTCTGAATACTGCTGGGTGTGGTTCAAACCCTTCCCCACCACCTAAAAAAAATATCCAAACCCAAACCCTTTACGACCCAAGAGATAATATAGGATTTAAGATGATCACTTTGCACTAGCCAACCCCAAATTGATCCCAGCATCACATAGGGTCCCCTGAGCACCACTGGGGGTGATCCCTGAGCATAGAACCTGGAGTAAGCCTTGAGCACTGCCACATGTGGCCCCCCAAACTAAAAAAAAAGGTACATTTACATCTTCCTTTCTTCTTTAGAAGCATTTTATTTTTTTCTTGCTTAATTTCATTAGTCAAAACTCCTAGTGTAAGTTAAATAGAAGTGTCCAAAGTGAGTTTCCTTGTATTGTTTCTGATCTAACAGGAAAGCTTTGTCTTTTTCCACCGAGCATGCTTGCTGTAGGATATTCATCTATGACCTTTAATCATTCTCTCGATCATGAAAGAGTACTGATTTTGTCAAAGACTTTGCTACAAAAATTTTAATGAGACGGGTATTTGATCATTGTATAACTGAAACTCAAGCACAAAATTTGTAAGTCTACAACTGTACCTCATGGTGTCTAATTAAAAAAAATTATACAAAAAAATTTTAATGAACATATATTATGTTCCCTTTCATTATTTTCATGTGATATATCACACTGATTCATCTTTGTATGTGAATCAACTTTGCAATCCTAAATGCTCAAATTTGGAGCTATAGAAATAATACAGGCATTAAAGAGAATAAAATAGGACAGAATAGTTTATGCTTTGCAGGTGACCAACCCAGTTTTGATCCCATGCACCACATGGACCCTTGAGCATTGCTGCATGAAGTCCCTGAGCAATAAGTCTGTGGCCCTGGAGGTCCCTGAGCACCTTCCTGAGTGGCTTGGGTAATCCTCTGCACCACAGACCCCAAGCAGCTCTGCATCCCTGGGCCCTGGCATTTAACCACCAGCCCAGTTGGCCAAGAAACCGTGGGATGGACCACCAGTGCTTTGTGACCCGGAGACCGCCCCAGCATCTCAATATTCTATTGACAATATCTGTATCTATATCCATAAGGGATGTAATTTGCTTTTGGTGTCTTTAGCTTTTGGATAAATCTTCCGTCAAAATGATTAGAAAATGTTATCTCATCTTCTCTATTTTGGAGGGTTTCTGAAGAAATAGTTTTAATGCTTTAAATGTTTGGTAGGATTCACCAGTGAAGCCATTTGGTCTTGGGCTTTGATTTGGAGAGAAATTTTCCTTTCTGGGGCTGGAGCAATAGCACAGCGGGTAGGGTGTTTGCCTTGCACACGGCCAACCAGGGTTTGATTCCCAGCATCCCATATGGTCCCCTGAGTACCACCAGGGATAATTCCTGAGTGCAGAGCCAGGAGTAACCCCCGTGCATTGCCAGGTATGACCCAAAAATCAAAAAAAATTTTTTTCTTTTCAA